CATTCAACGCGTTGAGTGGCACATAATGTTTAACCTGCGGCGCAGGAGCATGTGCGTGCGGGTGCGTGTGTGCATCATTTTCAACAGCTACAACTCAAAAGAAGTGAGAGAGTGGAAAAAAAGGTCTCGCTCTCCTCCCCGTCCTCTATCTTATCTTGTCAACATTGAAAGGCATTTTGGACATGTTAAAACAACTCCCCCCCCACCCCCACCCCCCCACTTCCCTTCTTGGTTTTAAAGACAGAGCGAACCCTATGTCCTGGAGTGATGTTTGCCGCAGATCAAACTGTTTTCATGTTACAGGGTGCTGGGGGACAGGCGGAGCGATAATGTCTCCTGGGCCCGGCCGGTCCTCTTAAAAGACACTGAGGAGCATAGGTGCTGACAGGGGCCCTATTGAGCGCAGTAATGGCTTGTACATCTCCATTTCCTATCCGCATGCATGACGGCTGAGGGAGAATGCAAGCGCACACACAAACACGTGTGTACGCACAGTAAAATTCAGAGACCATCCTTTATTTATGTAATTTCCAGTCAAGCCAGCCATTAAGTTGTTCAGTTTCCAGTGTCAGGATAAAACAGAAAATATGTATCTAACAGAAAATAACAAAAGTCTCAACAACTAAATGTAATATACTTTTTTCCAGTATTTAGTGTGTTCGCCTATAACCACAGCTTATATTCTTTTTGCAGACTTGCTGTCAGCTTTTTAAAAAAATCTGCAACAATGTTTTTCCACACCTCCGAAGTTCGTTGCACATTCTGTTTGTTACAATCCAAGTAATCCCAAACACCTTTAAGGATGTTGGGCTCTGGGCTTTATTTTTTTACAGAACACCAGCAGTTTATTTTTTGCTGTTTCCTTTTCTGAATAACAGCTTTGTGACAGCTACACATCCTTTCAGTCCCATAGCACTGAGTTGTCTTCTCACAGTGGACAGATGGACAGAAACACCTGTGAAATTTTTCCAAATCTGAAGCAAGAGTCCTATCTCTCCAAAATGAAATCTGATCATGACAATTGTGGTGGCCTAACAGGTCTTGCATGGTTGTTAAGAATCCCATTTTCTTCCTACTTTTTTATTATTTTTTAATATTTTTTCACTTTGACTTGTCCCTAATATATCAAGAGATATCCTCTGAAAAATGAACAACTTATACTTCATGGCCTTTTAGAGTAGAAATTAAATAAATGAAAAATGATCCCAGACTCGGAAGAAAGTGGCGTTACAAGGTCTTTATATGACACGTACAATACATATACTGAACTAACCCCCACACTCATGTCCTCATGTACGCACACATACACATTCTGGTGAGTCTAATAGTAATCTGTGCCTAGCCCATGTTCTCTGAGTGTGCAGTCTGACCCTAGGATTAGCTGCTGTTGTAAACCATTACTGAATCTAAGTGCTGATGTCAACAGTTCCACTAACAACATTGATTAATCCATAGCTCCCTATTTACTCAAGGACCTCTCCCTCCCCCTACAAGCCTCTTTTTCGGTCATTCAACCTGCAGTATATGCTGGGTGGTAAACATCCTTAGCTGATTCTGACTTAATAGAACACAAGTTGTAAGTCCTGTTCCCAGAACAGCTGACGGTAGTTAAGACATTTTCAGTGTTGTGTGTTTCTGACAGGGAGACAGATTGTAGTTTGTATCACTGTGGACTTCATCAGCTGCCCTGATCTATAAATATCCTATGTATAGGATCTTTTCTCTCTACTGTTTCTCTCTCTCTCTCTTTCCCACCCTCCCTCTCTCTCAGTCTATTCCTCCATCCCTCCACATGGTGGGGGGGGGGCAGCCTGGCTCTTCAGCCTGACTGATTGCTACAGATGCTCTTCCTCAAGTACTGTGAGTTACATCCTCTACAGCAGGTCTTCAGGGACAAACAATAGCACCTGTTCCTCATAAGGCCACAGGGAGGGCTCCTTCATGTATCTTTAATGAAGCTTTGGGGGCAGATGGTAAAAAACGGCAGTACCCAGCACTCAGGATGGGCGAAGACAAAGGGCCAAGCTGGCCTGGGGTTACAATGGGGCCACGCTTACGAGATGCGCTGTGGGCAGAGGTGCCAAAGGCTCGCTGCTCACATCTGCTCCGCCTTATTCTTCTGCGCTCCTGAAGATCTCACTGGCAATGCTAATGTTCCGGGCAGCCGGCCGCTTGGCAGGCCCGGCGAGAGGGGAGCCGTACAGGGGGGTGCAGAGGAGAAGACGCAGCCAGGAGAGGAGATGAAACACAAATGCTGGGAGAATGAGAGAGAGAGAGTGACAGAGACACATTCTGATAGATATAATAAGCAAGTCTTTATATGCAGCCTGATATGCAATTTATCAAAATCTGCCTGTCTAAGTGCAGGCACTTAATTCCATTCTCTGTCTATCAGCAGTCAAAGTAAATTGCCAGTGATAATCTTTAAATCTATACCGGCATTGTCTGCTCAGCTCGCCCAGCATTCATTAATTGACAGGCTTGAAAGCTAACCTCTTCTATTAGTCCCCACTTTGAAGCGCCCTGATTTGATTTGCCACTCACTGACGTGGCGTGTGTAAATTAAAGTTTAATGTAAAGACCTCATTACTGCAAAAACGCAAGTGCTCAAACCGAGGACAATTTATCTGTTCCTTTTTTCCCCTCATTCTGCTGTTCCCCAATCGTTTTTTGAAACTATAGTATCACTACAAATAGAAGATACTCAGTTCTTCTCTCGTTAGGCATTGATATCAATACTTCCAAACTGAAGATGACAGTGATTTGGTAATATACTGGCAAGTGAGCACAGTATGCAAATAAATGGAAAGGAGAGATATATGAGGTTTCAGGGACCAGGTGTTTTTGTGTTGATAGCCGTAGCATTGAGTTCAGTTTCGGAGCTGCTGGGGTGACGTGAGATGACATGTTGGAGAGTATCTGTGTTTTGGTTCCACTTTGAGAGCAGCTGTTGTGTGTAATACTGGAGCTTAGGACCAATTCGTTTTGCAAGGGTAGTGTGAATAAGGTTAACGGCAATTATGTATGTGACTGACCTTAATAACCTTTCAAAGGAGACCAATTTACATGCTCAGAACTACGGAAAATATTCGCTTTTTTTCTTTTTAAAGTCGCTAGTTAATACTTGTAAGAATTCACTTGAAGTGTTTTACAGAGTAGACCACTGCGGGTTTGACTTTGCTCTTTGTGCAAAAATAAATAAATAAAGTAGAAAAATTCTGTCACACGGTGAGGAAAGTGTCATTTAGACGGATTCTTGAGGTCATTTACAGAGACCTTTTAGTCTTTCTTATTCAGCACATTTAAAAAGGACTTTTCACATCACAGGAATCAGAAAACCACTTTGCCCACAGGTCTCTCACTCTGCCACAATGTTAAATGTGCATTTGCAGAGTTTAAAAGCCCCATATACAGAAAAGTGCATTTTTTCAGGTTTTACAGAACTTCTCTAAGATCAATAAAGTGTACCTGAACACTTGTTAAGCACCAAGGGAATGGTCCTGCTGAACCAAGCTTTGGTGGTAGATGCTGGGGAGGGGGGAAGGCAATGGGGGAAAAAATGGAGATTGTACGCAGACCTCAGCGAGAATGCGGAGGGGGAAAAAAAAGTGGCGACGCGGAGCAGGTTGATTTCATGCCCCAGTGCCACGGCAGTAATTGCACCCAGACCCGTTTTTATTGCAAGTTGATTTTAAAGGGGCTTGAATGGTGAAATACTCTGTAACATGTTTATTTTGGGGGGCCGACCTTTATTAACCCTGTTCTCCAGTCAGATCCCCCAAGGTGGGCCAGCCTGCCACGCCGTTAAGTCTCCCAGTCCCACGGTAGCAGAGCTGCAGCCTATCACGCATATCCAGGAAGCAGGGGATGACAGCTAGATTGGGTCGGGCCAATGCTCTCAAAACATTTCTAAGCTACTACAACTAGTAACCAAAACATACCATCTTTTTCTTTGTCTTTGTCTCTGTTTGCCTGTGTCTGGTTTTGCTCTCACTCGTTCTCTCTCGTGGAGAATTAATGCACACGCGCACATTGATCCCAAACAGCGACCGTGTCCTGATGTGGCATGTGACGCCAATCTAGGGGAGACTGGAGGATGAGGATGGTGAAGGTTAATAACAGAACACAGAAGACGTTTCGACAGTTAGTAGGGCAGCGTGTGCCGCACTGGGCCACGGCATTAAAAATGAAATATCTCGAATGGACGAGAGCATTTGGGCTCCTTCCACCCATTTCAGTGCTGAAAGCAGCCGCTGTAAATTACGGGACTGCCTGCACTTTTATCGTCTGTATAAATGATCTTCCAAAATTATGAGACAGGCACTGTATATCTGCAAAGGTCTTTTCCTGTCAGTCATCACTGTTGGCAAGCACATGCGTGTGAGTGCTGCTCCCGAGTGCATGCTATGCGATCACACAGTGAAACTGCAAGCATGATCACTGAGGAGAATCTCACCTGTTGTCTCATGGAGAGCGAGATATCTGGCTGGTTCTGCAGTTCAGCTTTGGGAATTTGCTTAGTTAAGTCTTCCTCCATCAGGAGCTGTAAGACTCTCCAGTCCCCACAGTTCTCCGTTAAGCTTTATGAACGCTGTCCATCTTTTTTTTTTTACTCTTTAGGTGAAAAATATAAATATATAAACAGAAATGTGTCTGTGTCTAGGAGATATAATCCACATCCACATCAGTGAAATGAATTTGGCTGTTTTCCCACCTCATAGCTTAAAGTGACATAAAGTGAATCTCTCTCTGGCAACCCACGACGTAAGAGGACATGAGTGGTCAGACTCTGTGTCTGGCTGTATGTGTGTGCACCCCTGTGCGTGCACGTGTTGCTCTTTGAAGAGCTAATGTGCAAGTTTCGGGGATTAGGCACAGGTATTGTGTGAGGGTGCGCAAGGCAGATCGGGGGGCTGAAGTTGTGGGCTGGACATGGGGGCTGGGTGCTGTCAAGCTGTGTTAGGCTTGTGTGTGATCTCCTTTCTCTCTGTGTTCAGCAGGTCCAGGGTCACATGCCTCCGCTCATGATCCCCATTTTTCCACACGACCAGCGCACTCTGGCTGCTGCCGCTGCTGCCCAGCAGGGCTTCCTCTTCCCTCCAGGCATGTCCTACAAACCAGGTACAAGCTTCCACTGCCTCTAGATCTGTCTTTCTCTGTCTTTATCTTTATATCTCAATTACTTTAGCTGATCATCGTGATTACAAAGCAGCACTGTGCACTCATTTTCACTTCTTGGCCTGTTCTTTATCATTCTTGTGTTTGCGTATCTGTAGATTTCTCTGTTTCTTTCTGTTTCCTCTGTCTTTGTCTTGTTAAAGGCTATTTTGATGAGGGTATATACACATGCAGGCACATGCAGCTCAGTTCAATTTGCGCCACTCACTTAAAATCGAAGCCTGTGCTGAGATGTCTTGTATGAGCCTCTGTGCCGTATGGGAACTGACTCAACCACTTCTCACCCATTCTCTCCCCTCCTGTTTATCTTCTGTGGTTCCAACAGGCTGTCATTTGCATCAATAGGTATATTTTCATTCCTGAGCCATACTAAGCAAGTCTTTATAATGTGCTCAAAACAACCCCCCCTTCCTTACCCACTCAAAGCGCAGAACAATCAGCTCTCCCTGTCAAAGCAATTAAATCAGAGCACCATGAAGTGTGTCACCTTGGTTAGACTGCAAGGGTCGATGTAGTGTTCAAGTGCAAGGCATGTGAGCCTGCAGAACAATAGATAGGGTGTATGAGGGCTGGAATGTAAACAGTGCATCAGCATGAAAGTGTCTACACTTTACTGGTCAAGAATGTGCTGAGGGAGTCTTCATCTTAAATTGTTCTGGGGCTGATCCAGGATCGGCCGTGACCCCTGATTGTTCATCTTTGAAGGCTGCCGTACTACAAAGCACCAGGAGACATTTCTCACTTTCTCACTTACTAGTTCCCTGACTCTAGGTCATGTAGCACATGGACCAATAGCTCTGACAGCCTCGATCCTAAGGAATGCTCTCTATTGATTTAGCACACTGCCTGGAGAATGGTGACCTGCTCTCAAGCGTACAGTTTCCTCTACAGGGCGAACGGCCTCTGGGAGCTCTGCTTCTTTCTACCTGTCCCAGCACGTTCTCCTACTCCTTTTGTGAAAAAGAGAATTGCTCCTCACGCAAGCATTCCAAATCCAAAAACAAATTTGCAGGAAATTGCTACAACATGCACACTGACTCCTTGCCAGGCCACTAACCCTCCACCCTGCACCCAACCCCTCATTGTTCTGAGATGTGCCACTTTGTGTAATTATGTATATGGAAAAAAAAGCAAATTCCTGGCATGGGGGTGTTCGGTACCAGGGAGTCAAAGGCCTGGCCCTGCATTGTTTCCTTTGTTTTCTTCTCTTGTAAGTCATACATATTGGCTGTCAGGGTAGTAAGAAGTATAAAAATGCTCAGGCAAGGAGTTTCCCTGCAGATGCTGAGCGTCTATTGACAAACCAGTGAACCTGTGAGAAATGACTCGGTGCTTATCAGTGAAAGAAGAACAAATAGGAAAAGATGAAAGAAGACAAAGTTGTCAGAAAATATAAATTCGTGTCAGTGCAGCCTGGCAGGGAAAAGCCCTGGTCTCCTTATGTCTCTATTGGATGCTTTGAAAGACACATTTGTTGTCAGCACCTCATCAAAGGGGAAAATAGCAGAAAAAGATGAGGGAGAGAGAGAATGAGAGACAGAGAGAGACCAAAGGGAGAGAAAGAGACTGAAAAAAGGCTCAGTAGTCAGCAGGTGAGAGGCAGAACATTATAGGGTGTGGTAAAGCATCTAATAAATTAACTATAAAGGTGAGCGATGAAAAAGAAAGTCAGCTATTTTGGAACTACAGAGGCATGACAGGCTGAACAAAAAGCCTGAGGGGATTCTTTTCCTGCTTGATTTTTTTTTTAATATGTTTGACACTGCAAGTGTTTTACTACAAATAACAGAAGCTATAATGGAATCCTCTACGTGTGTAGAGCGCCTGCATTATTCATAAGTTTGTAAGGCAGCGGAGGGTAGAGAAGTCCAGAGAGCGACTCACATCGTTGGTGCACACGTCCATTATTCTTGGCCGTGAATGTGATAATGTGATCGGATGAAGCTAATGCAAAAGCAACTACTGCTGTTTTTGAAGCCCTGTGTGAAGGGAAGCCGGCCCAGCTCAGTGTTGTCAGAAAAGGCCCAGTGCTGATGACCCCAGCCCTGCTGTGAAACTCCAGTACTCTCCTCTCTTTCACACTGTGCCTAATGGCCTGGGCATTTGCAGTCATCTTTTACTCAAATAGACATGTGGAGGACATGGGTGGCACCACTGTGTGTAGACATAAAGACAGAACCATTACTAGTAGTGGAGCTGTACAATTGAAGTCCTTAGAATGTGTTGAGGGCACAGTGGCCCATAGAGACCCATCTGGCAGTGCTGCTATAAGGCAATTGATTCTGCCAAGCCTGGCCAAGAGGGTCTGCTCATGTCTGTGAGTGGGCATCAAGTATGCATGTAGACACAGATCAACAGCACTAGCGACTTGTGCTCTATACATGTCTATGGATCACCAATGGATCCTCCATATTATCTGTGTTTAAACAAACGCACAAACCTTAAAATCTGACCGAAATGGACATGAGTGAGAAAGAGTCCTTTGAACAAAACCACTTGTCTCTGAAAGTGCCTCTGTTTAGGCAGAATGCACCATGTGACTGGCCTTTGGCATCAGGTGGAGGAGAAGTAAAGAGGGTGCAGAAAGAGCACTCTGCCAGTTGTTCGTCCCGGCTCTCATCCACCTTTTCATTAGCCTGGCCACCCTTGCTTCTCCTGGAGCACCGGCCTGAGCAAGCATGAGTGGTACCCTGTGTAGGTCTCTTGGGGCCAACCATTTTATGAGGCCCTGTGCCAAGCTGGCAGTCAAAGTTGGCCTTCATTAGCAGCGTGATACCTCTCTGAAACAGAATCCATTATGAAGCTCTTCTGCTGTGCCTTCATGAGAGCAAGTTTAATGCGTTATTCAACAGGCTCTTTCCTTACCTGCCTCTTTATAAAGAGAAGACAGTGGAGTATTGTGATCAGAGTAGGAGAGGTTTCCCCTGTTTTGGCTTGATATCTTTGCAGGGAACTTGCTTTGATAAGACTTTTCTCTAATAAAAAGATGCTATCAGAGTGAAATTACAAGGCAACACTGGTTGGGCGTCCTGGCTTGTGATGCGGAATGCACTTCCTTAGACTCACTGTCCTGTTTTTTTCCTTGCTGTAAGTGGGCCAGTCTTGCCTTGGTGTACACTAGTAGTCTGTTGAGCTTTCTAAAGCCAGCTGACTCAGCCATTCACCCTGTCCCTCCAAGCTGGAGTGGGTGGAGGGGTACAGTCAAGCCTCCAGGGTGTGATAATGAGCCCCTAGACCCTCTTGTAGGAAACAGCTTCGTCCTGCCAGTGGCTTCACTGCAGTCTCCCTGGCACCCCATGCCCAGGCCAGGGCCTGAGAGCACCCTTGCTGGAGATGGCAGGAGAGTGGCCTTTAAACCAGATTTCCTTTCACAGACAAACAGACAGCATGCTGGCAGCCAGCCCAGGCAACTGGAGATACTAGCTGCCCACCAGCCTCCAAAAAGCCTCCAGATCTCCCGGCACCCATTTCTGGCTCCATGTCCTCGACTGGCACCTGACCTGCCTAGGGCTCACATGACATCTCAGCCCTTTGACATCCACCCAGGGAGAGGGAGAGAGCGAGAGAGAAAGTGCTAGCACGAGTAGCGTTGGACAGTAATGACCCCCACTCTACCTCTCTTATGGCACTATTTGAAATCACTTCAATTGCACGCTTTATTCTCCTCCGCCACAGGCTGGGATTGAATTTCCTGGCTGTATCACAATATGCTGCGCTGGACAAGATCGCAAAGCGAGCAAGGCAGAAAGAGCGAGAGAGTGAAAGAGAGGGTATATATGTTTACCCCCATGCCTGTGGTTTAATGGCTCCATATGTTAGTGAGGAGAAGTGACAGGCAGAAGTGGTGTCTGAACCAGGGCCAATTCCCTTCTATAGGCACACTTCAGTCAACCTCCAGCAGCCTTCATCCTGTCTGACTCCAGCCAGAAACAGTTTTATATGTACCAACCACAAAGCAAAACACATCTTGCACAGTTAACACTCACTTTCTCAAACACAATTATCAGTATCAGGTTTAGTGGCTAAATGCCATTGAGACACAACATTTGAATCAGTTGAAGTTCTATTCTATTCTGTTCTGTTCTGTTCTATTCTAGTTGGTATTGTTTTGCTTGTCTGAAATTTGATCATGAAATGAAAAAGCATGTCTTTCTGTATTTACAGTGAGGCATGATTCTTGTTGTAACCAGTCAAACTTGCCCTCTGCAGGTTTTCTCTCTGTTCACTGTGCCAGAACTCACACTGTTAAACACACAGTGGCTTGTAGAACAATACTGAGACATGCTTAAAGCCGTGTCAAGTGCTTGAGCAAATGATATACTGTGTATGAGTAGCAACAAAAATACCACAGATATTCAGAAACAATGCAATACGAAAACAAAATTAAGAGTGAGAGAGAAAGAAAAGAAAGAGATAAAAAGAGGGATGGAGAAAATGAAAAGAAAAAAGAATGGAAAAAAAGAATGGAAAAGCAAGACATTCTCGGGTAAATCCCATGTGGCTGTGGCCAGCTGACTCTTTTGTGAGTGCAGATGTTTGGGCTAGGTGCCGAGGCTGGGTGCAGGCAGGCCCACAGGAACTGTGTTGGCACTTGCCTGGGCCGCCGTTGGGCCGCTCATTGTCTCAACCTGTGCGTATTGTTCCCCCCTCCACCCCCCTACCCCCACCTTTTCCTTCGACAGGTGATAACTACCCGGTGCAGTTCATTCCTTCCACAATGGCAGCTGCCGCGGCGTCAGGACTCAACCCTCTTCAGCTCCAGGTATGTACAGCCACAAAAGAATGTAGTGGCGGTGGGCCAAGCCCTCGGCACTAGCAGTTTGAGAAACCAGCTGTATGCTAAGTAACAAGTGTGCACTAAATCACTCACGAACTGGTCCACCCCTACCAGCTTAACACCTTCCATTTGCAGTTCACCAACTTTTATGGATGAGCTTTCCAGGCCCGTATTTCCATGGGAGTTAGGATGATAACGAGTATTTGAGGAAAATGCGAGTCCTCCTACGCTGTAATTGCCTGCTGGCTGGACCGCATACTGAAGAGCTGGGTAGTCGCATCATTATAGGATCTGGTGATGCAGTTATCGGTTATAGATACTGCTTTATGTGTCATGTTACATGTTTTAAAACTTGATGTTTGATCTGTAAAGCTCAGCGGGGGTTGTTGCCAGTGAGAAGTTGGCCCAGGGCTGAGGGTAGGTGGGGAAACGACTCCCAACAGGCACACGGAATGCTGGGAGAGCTTCCAAATGCCCTCCAAGTGGCTTCAAAAATGGCTGGTAGGCCAGTCAGAAGCTAACTCCAGGCAAGCATTAATATAGATATTTACCATCATTTCTGGCCTTATTGGCCTTACTGTCATTATTGTCATAACTATCGGCCTCCTAAGACCAAACAAAGTTTTTTTTGTTTCTTACGCTGACAATTATGTTTTCCCTTAATACTTTCATCAAGTAATATTTATAGAACAAGTTGTTTGGGTTGGATAAAGGGGCCATCAGCCTGTGTTGCACTGATGCCTTCCTGCTTGCTTAGAGGAATAATCAAAGTGGTCATGTGAGGAGCTGAGATGGGTGTTGTCCTTTGAAACGAGGATTATAAATATTTCAGCTCCCAGGAAACTTGAAGGAAGCACTCGAGCAGTTGACGAAGTTCCTTCAGGTTCTCTGAACACAAAGATAAGTTGGAGAGTAAACAAGCAAGTGTGCGAGAGAGAGAAAGAGAGAGAGAAAGAGAGAGAGAGAGGCCAATTGAGCTAACAAGCTTGTTGAGTATTTCGCTTTTTTCAGCAAACAGTTGTTGTTTTGTCAACAACCACAATAAGCTGTTGATAGCAATTAGACATTAAGCTTTCTTATAACAGGGATTGTTGCAAAACAAAGCTGAAAACTGCGGGCGGCAGTGTGTGTGTGTGTGTGGGGGGGGTGGCGGCGAGCGGGAGGGCGAGGAGAGCGTCTCGTACCTTTTCTTCTCGCTGCTGCATGAGCACAATTTGTCCTTCGAAGCTTATCGCTCTCAGCATTAATGAGCCTTGGCAAGTTGGAACAATGCAAGCAGCTGGGGTTGGAAAGGCCTCTGCTAGCACGCTACTATGGGAAGAACAATCAAATGCACGGAAGGTGTGGAATGAGTCTATTCATGTTGTGGTGTGTGTGTGTGTTTGTATGCAGCGTCTGTTCGGGAGAGCGAGTTTGAATTTTGAAAGAGAAAGAGAGAAGAGTATGAAAGAGAAAGAGTATGACAGTGGTGGGGGCCAGGCTGCGTGTATGTATGTTTATCTTTCTCCGTCAGTCTCAGTCGGGAACAGGCAGTGATGGCATGGCTGGGGTCTGTGCTGTCTATTTATAGTGTTCTGATGGGTCAGCTAAAGGCTGAGATAGTCATATATCTACAGGCCTGAAGGCCTCCAGCTATTCATTCAGATAATGGATTTAACCCTGGGAATGGGCGGACAGCCCTACAAGTCCGTGACCCGGCTGACCTTTAGACAACACAGTAAACGTAGAAAAAAAGGAGGTGCGTTCCCATTAATTGAAGCCTGTTGTAGATGTAGCCTTAGTCAGCTTGCTGTATGGACTTTCCCTACCTGCTCTTTTCAGTGGAATCGACTAGTCACATGATCGTGTCTTTTCAAAGTGGGGCGAAGGACAATGATTAAAACATAATCAGACTTGGAGATGGAGACACACGATTAAATTCATGCTCAGTCTGGTGACAATATTGTCAGCACTTCTGTCAGGACCCAGCTTAGACGCAAGCGTGTCTGTGAGTAAACACAGCATGTGAGAAAACACAGCCTTCTGTGTTCGCTACATGTCACATGTCAAGCGAGGACAAAAGAGGCAGACAAAACATTCTTTAGAAAGAGAGAAGGACAACAGACGGTTGCACTCAGAGACTGTAATTTTGCAGGGTGGGGGGAAAGGAAGTAGGACTTGTCCAGCAGTTAGGTACCACCAGCTTACGGTCGTAGCCGCTTTTGTCTGACGCATTTGTGAGGGTTTTTTTTTTTTTTACTCATCCTCTTCAGTCCAACCAACCGGGGCATATTGTTCTTTCTGTCTAAATCATCTGTCAGATTCATGCCTGCCTGCTCCAGGGCAGTGCTAATGAGGTGTATGCGTGAGTTTGTGTGGGTTGTGTGTGGTTGATTGTCAGTAATGGCAGTATCAGCGAGCATTCAGTCCTCATGCATCACTGATCTGTTCAAAGCGTGTGACCTCACCTGCAGGCACCCCACTTCCTGTGCCAGGGGACACACCTACCCATCACGCCATTGGTTCACTGCGTTCAGTCTAATCATAATATCTGTGTCTGGCAAGGTATCATTTTCCCCCATTCGCTCAGTTTAGGTTTGGGGAAATATATGAACCCGAAAAACACGCCCTGATTGGAAAAGGAATTAATTCCCATAATGCTGTGGTGGTAATGTGCTCAGTCGTCTAGGAAGAGGGACTCAAGCACAGCAGCTGCTCTTTACATTGTGTGAAAATTTTATGATGAGTGGACCAATAGAAATGCGCCAAAAAAACTCTTTACATTACATTTTCCTTACATTAAACGTAATAAATAAAAAAACTCACTTTGGAGATACTTGTTTTGGAGATAAACGTTTATTGTGTTAAGAAACAAAATGTCAAACCAAGTGGCATTTATTTTAAACAGACCATTCCAAGACTGTAATTTTCTTTTTGGCAAAGTATTCTTTTAAAAGGCAGCTGGTGTGTTTCAGATCAGTATCGTTTGAGGAATTTCTTTGCAGACTTCTGCAGGTTTGCATCTAGAATGGCTTTGCACACTTCTGAGTTCCTGATTCTCTGAATGGACACAAGATCACTGACACCATTGCAGGGAAAACATCCCCAGACTGTGATACTTTCACCTCTGTACAGTAGCCTTAGTAGCCTAGTGTTATTTTTCAGGCTTCCTCCACACAAAGAGTTTACCGCCAGTTTGATGTTATGCTAAAACTGTTTTTTTCTGGGACAAATATTATTTTATTTGGAACAAATAGCATTTTAAACATGAGGTAACCAAACATATGTATGTACAGGATGCATATGTATTTTTTTGCCACACACCGAACCTTTTTAGCTTTGGTCCTTGCAGGAGGAAATGAAAGCGACCGGCGGTCTCAGTGTAATTTGCTTGTCAATACACTTCCTTCAGACACTCACACACACGCGTGCACACACACCCACCACCCACACACACACAGCCCCCTGTCACTGCGTATCCCTACACGGCGAGTAATTTCACTCAGTGCTTCCCTGACAGATTGCTCCTTGTCTGCAAGTCACCGGAGAAAAACAGCTCCAGCCATTTCTCCGGGCCGGGTGCCTTTCTTCATTAAGGCTCATTCAGGGCTCAGGACGAGGCGACTCCAAGTGGGGAAACAATGGCCCCATCTCCGAATGTCCCCTCCTTATTAAAACTGACACCTCTCACCTCCAGCTGGAAATTGTGGCCGGCCCGTAGCCCTCAGCTCGGGCAGCCTAAAAGGAATTATCCTAATTCCACAAAAGAATTCCATTTTATTTTTTGTCTCTTTGGATTGGCACTTAATTTGCTGGCACACAAGATCACCTTGCATCAATTGCCTAAGGGGAAAAAACAATTTCCTTAAAGCCATTCTCTGCCTGATATATTGTTTTTCCTGTTTTACTGGAGGAGGGGGCTCTAAACAAATCCAAAGTGAACTTTGCGAGAGGCCTGGTTTTTATCATTGGAAGCAGACTTCAGGGTTTAAGCAGTTTTAAAGTAAGCATCATTGGATAAAGCAGAACATCTGGGTCCTCCCTGTAGCACATATCAGAGGGCACAAACACAAATGGGTCTACTGGCGGCTTTCTCTCTCTCTCTCTCTCTCTCTCTCTCTCTCTCTCTCTCTCTCTCTCTTTCTCCCCTTCATCCCCCGCAGCTTTGTTCTTCCCTTTCTCCGAGTCATACAGCTTGCCCACATTCTTTAGCCATATAGTATTTGGACGTTGATTTACTTTAGTGTGCTTTTACACTGTAATCACTGTCCATAACGGGAGCAGCGTCTCTCATGGCTCACAGTAGACCTGCCTCAGCCCCTGAGCCACATTCAGCTCAACACACAAACACAATGCCAAAATGGGCCGGTACACAGGGAACTGCTCGGAGCTCTGGACAAAAAGAGAGTGGGTTCTGGTAAGCTGCAGTGGACAAAGAGACGGGGGAGATGTTCAACAGGCGGCAAGGAAAGAGAGGAAGCAGGGTGTTATCTTTTGTTTGGATGCTGATGTCTCCGTGTTCCGGACGTGAGGAGAGAGCAGGGGCTGGCTGCCACATCCGACGACGAGTGGAAGTGCTGTTGACTTTGAGCCGTAGAAATGAGGGTGAACAGCTGTCGGGGTGATTGAGGAAGAGAAGAGAGGAGAGGAGAGGAGAAGTGCATGAGTTTCTGGCTCCAGAGAGATAGCCAGAAGCAGTGAGGTTCTAGGAGCCCAATGCTGGGGCTGTAATGGGATGGAAAGATCAGCATCTGGATAGATGAGGTTGTTGAAACGAGGGACAGATGGACGCATATGCGGTTAAACGAGGGAAAGAGAGAGGCAGAGGAAGAAACAAGTGAAGTAAACGAATCAGAATCAGTTTTATTCCTCCAGGTACGTTACATACACAAGACATTTTCTTAGTAAGTGCACATATATATGTACATTTTCATTTTTTCCTTCTGCTGTAAAGTTAAGATTTTAGATATGAAGTGTGAAAAGTGAACTGAGTGGTAAAAAAGTAA